CTGCATCATTGCCACAAAGACACCTACATCAGATGTTCTGGTCTTTGACTATACTAAACACCCATCCAAACCAGGTGAGTCAAAGATGATTCTTATATTCACTGTCACTAATACTGTATGTCAGTCATCTAAGAAGATACTTGTAATACCAATTCAGAGGTGTTTTTGTATATCCAACTGTAGACCCCAGCGGTGAGTGCAGTCCGGACCTGAGACTGAGGGGGCATCAGAAGGAGGGCTACGGTTTGTCCTGGAACCCCTCCCTTAGTGGAAACCTGCTCAGTGCATCAGATGACCATGTGAGTTCAAAGTTCAAAGCTTGTATAAAGAGCTATTTAGCTCTGTCATCTTAATAACAGTTTCAAACCTGCAATTTCTGCAGACAATCTGTCTATGGGACATCAGTGGCTCTCCTAAGGAAGGAAAGATTGTAGATGCCAAGACAATCTTCACAGGCCACACTGCTGTGGTGGAGGATGTGTCCTGGCACCTTCTTCACGAGTCACTTTTTGGATCAGTAGCTGATGACCAGAAACTCATGATGTGAGTAAAGTGCATAATCAACCAGACCTGTAATTCTAGCAGTTAGGTAATTCTGAATTTCTGCAAATAATGCTGATACATTGATCAAAATCAAACGTTGGTAGTTAATACAGTGTTTCTGTGCAAGTTTAACAGTGTGCATAAATTATATGCAAATTGTATATATGAAGTGTATATATATATATATTTTTTTTTTCCTTGGAATTCCTCAGGAAGATCTATTGAGAGGAAAAATAGGTCTTATTTTCTATTTATTTACAGTTGGGACACAAGATCCAATAACACAGCTAAGCCCAGTCACTCTGTGGATGCCCACACTGCTGAGGTGAACTGCTTGTCCTTCAACCCCTACAGTGAGTTCATCTTAGCCACTGGCTCTGCAGATAAGGTCTGTACACCACTAATATGTACACACAAATTCCCTCAAACTCTAACACTAATATATGGACTGTTCTACCAAATTTGTTTAAATTGCAGTCCCAAATTAAAAAAAAAAAAGATACGATCTGTTTAAACTCAACGCATAGTAATAAGCTAAATATCTACAATTATAGGGTACTTTCTGTAGGTGTATCAAACCCTAACCCTTAAATGTTAACTTGTGAAAATAATACTTACATTTAGATTTAGATTTATCATGAGTTTATTTTTTTATTTTTTTCCCCAGTTTTCACTACCAAAAGTTTTAGTCCATAGGGGGAGCCTTATTTTAGCCACACCCCTATATTTAAGAGCAGAAAGTGAGACTTCATCCCTGTCCCTCATGGCCACATGCTGAGCAGTTAGACCCCACTTGTTTGTTTTGAAACAAGTGTCCCAAAGTCTGAAAATGAGCATGTTACCTCAAGAATTGTCACGTTTTCTGCAATTAAGCAAACATTTTTATGTTTTAATGAAAAATGCAATGTTTTTATGTGTGTACAACTCCTCAAAATGGTTTGTTAGTGTTTAGTCATATACTGACTAGCATTTTTGAGTTACGCTCAAAATGAGCTAAAATTGTCACTACCAAAACATTTGGTAAAATGTCAACGGCATTATTATTGTATTGGTAATGACAAAATAGAATGTTTCATCATTTATTTAAAAAAAAACATAATTAAGGTATCATTCAAAGCACAAAGATTTTTGTCTAAAGTCCAAATCAGTTAAAAGCCTGAAATGCGTTTTCAACTCTGACTTTGAACTAATTCACTAGAATGATTCATATACTGATTCTTGCAGGAATATATAGTCATTCTTATGTTTGTTCCTACAGACTGTGGCCCTTTGGGATCTACGTAACCTGAAGCTGAAGCTTCACTCTTTCGAGTCGCACAAAGATGAAATCTTCCAGGTAATAGTATAAGTAGTATGTAGCGAACATACTATTCTTTCAAGTGACATTTGTTAGTGGAGAGATGTACATAAAGGGCTTAAACGATTTTAAAGTTGTGATTATATGAAAGTTGTCTTTTTGATATGGCCCTATCTTATAGGCTCATCGCAAAACAGCTTTAGCCATATTATTATTTTAAGAGGAAACAATTTATAGAGAGATTTGTTAAGCCTACAGTAAGAATGATCTGCAAAATTCTGACCAGCGTGAGTATGTTTTGATCGTTTTCTCTGATTTAAGCTCTGGGATGGATTATTGGACAGTTGGGGATTTTTTTTTTTTTAGCTTAGATATGCAAATTTTGTCTTAGATATGGAAATTGTTATACTTGCAGTTGACGAAGTGCTGCAACCCTATATTTGTTGATGGTTCATAGTAGTATTTTGGGGTACGTTGTTTTGCACTGACATTGAATTACTTGCTGCAGGTTCAATGGTCACCCCATAATGAGACCATTCTAGCTTCCAGTGGTACAGACCGACGACTCAATGTCTGGGACTTGAGGTAAGGCCTTATGTTCCTCTTTAATGGTATGAGTACAGAGATTCAAGTGGAGCCATGTTTTTTATAAATGCATTTTCAGCCAGCTGTTTCATATGCATAATTATCTCAGTTGTAGCCATGTAACTGATTTGAACATGAAATGAAATATTTAGTTTAAACTTAATTGACTGCTAGACCACTTCACAGTTAGTGTCTCCTCAGTAACGCAGAGGTTTGTGTTTGACATGCTTGCAGTAAAATCGGAGAAGAACAGTCTGCTGAGGATGCTGAGGACGGACCTCCTGAATTACTGGTAAGTTCACTAAACTGTATTCAGACTGCTGTGTTTATTTCCATTATGGTAAATTGCATTTCTTTGTTCAAATTTGGTCTCTGTTGTGTATCCTCATCTGCGACAGTTCATTCATGGTGGACACACAGCAAAAATATCTGATTTCTCATGGAATCCCAATGAACCCTGGGTGATCTGCTCTGTGTCTGAGGACAACATCATGCAAGTTTGGCAAATGGTCAGTGCTTGGTTTAATTCTAGCTAGAATCTAGATTGGCAGAGACAAATAAAACTTTAGTTTTACAGTTGATTTAAAGATCTGCTCTATTAAACTCAAATGTGTGACCCTCATTTAGGCAGAGAACATCTACAACGATGAGGAACCAGACACTCCTGCCTCAGAGCTTGAGAGCCAGGTCTCCTAACCTCTTTCTTTAACACGGAACAGCAGGGTTCATATCTCATGAATCCCCAGTACCAACCAAGATTCATCTACCAGGTGGATTTAATCGAACAAAGAAACAGCTGTATTTCAGGACTTCATCCAGAGACCAAAATCCAATCAAACCGGTTCCTGGATTACATCTTTTATACTTTCTTTGTTAAGTATTATTCCATTTCCCTCCTTTCACCCTGCACTCTGTAAACTTCAGGTCTGTGTAGAACTTTCCTTAAGAAACAGTACACCACATTGTGTTACATAGATGTTTTCTAAAATGCCAGATGCCATGATCTGTAGATAGGCTGTTTTGAATGCTTTTGTTATGAAAGAGGTGAGTGTGGAAGAGGTTTCAATGATGGAGAAAGTTTGTTGCTTTCAGAAATGCACTTGATGAATGGACGCTGCTGTTAAATCATTTTTCCAAATTGGAGCTAAATGAGGCAGTTCTCCAATCCATTTTTAGTTTTTGTGCGTAAACCTGATGTCAACTGCAATAAAAGTTTTGTAATACCTTTTAAAATTATTGCTCTTTTTGTATTCTTGAAATGTTGATAATGGTTACCATTGTGTAATTCCACACAGGAATAAAGTACAAATTATCGTACACGTGTTGTGAGCATTTTCTGTGCATTATAGTATATACATTTAGTAATGGTAATATTATTCAATTGAAAAGTAAGCATGACACAATAGATGCTCATTCCTGCCCTTTTTTTCTCTCTGGCAGCAGTGTGTCAAAATATTCACTTAGTATTTTGACATAACTTAATTTCTGATAACATTGACAGAGTATAATACATTCTTCACTTATTATTTGAAAATAATGTCTGATTTTCTTTATTGACTTGCTGTCTCAAAATAGACACATTTTCTATTTGCATCTAGATGCATCTCAAAATAATTGCTTACTTTCTTGACGTATTGACCTACCAGGTTGGAATAATGACTTGTTTTCTCAAAATATTCACTTATGTCAATATAACGTATTAGACCTGGGGTGATATGGCAAAAATATCATGATACTCAATGTCACAATATGTCTTTTTTTGACATAAGTTGGAACAAAGTAGTGCCACACTTAAAAAATACTATCAGACTAAAAATCTATCAACATTTCACATTTCACATATGCTAAATCCAATTAAACATGACTAAATATGCTGTCTGTAATGAAATACGCAGTCGGTCAAGTACCAACAACATCCACAGTATGCTCAGAAAAGCATATTGTGAAACATCATGATATTGCAATAACAATACATATTGTCATATTGCCCAGCCCCGCCTAGTATTCCATAATTTTGACATTTGACGTAATGCTGTCGGAAACAGTGAGCTGGTGGGAATGAGCTTCCATCCAACACTTTTTGGTGCAGTGCAATTTTTCGTTTTTGAATCTTCAATAATATCTTGATTTTGAATTATCAGCACTATCAAATATGCATAGATTGTATATAATCATGTATTCTCTTTTCTTATGTCTTCACTGTCCTTCTAGTATATTTCACATGTACATCATCACAATCCAAAAGAAAATTACTTTTTTTTTGGATGGTGATGATGTACATGTGAAATTTACATTCACATTGAGTGAACAATTCATGACAATCAACCAATAGGAACAATCCAAAATTACTTGGAATAAAATCTCTTTACCTTACTTAATTAAAATTTAAGAATGTTTTGCCTTCTCCTGTAAGGTTGCCATTTTGGAGATACATTTCAAGAGAGACCCTACATTTTCTTTTGTTCTTTGTCCCTAAAACATTTATCGTTTCATGGTTTCAGTTGCATCATTTTACAGTCCAGATGCTTATAATTGTATCAGCTGAATTCAGACAGAAATCACAAAACCCACCAAGTAATAAAGAAAAATCTACAAAACAGTTTTTATTGAAAAGCAAGACAGGACTACAATAACATACAATCTCAGAGAGGACATAGGTTGAGTTAAGGGAGAAAGCATTTTCAAAGCATTGCTGACTTTAGCCTCTTTCACAGTTAGTCTTACCTGCAGAGGTAGATTTCTTGCATAACCTGAGAATCAAACTGGGACACTGCCAAAGAAGGAGGAACAGAAGCACTAACAGTACCAAAAACTCAAATCACAATTGTTTTTTCAATCAAAGGAAACAGAACTGTGTTTACACAATCCAAATTTCTTGAGGAAAAAGAGTTTCAAAAGCATTGCTGAGGTCTCACTGCATTATTGGTTAAGGTGAAGTTTTAACTTGTAAAAGAAAGCAGTCGTCACACTGGTCGACCTTCTAAGATCATTAACATTCACATTTCAAAATTATGATTCAAGCAATGGGATCAGACAACAGCTGTATGAAGCACTGCATAAGGTGTGATTTGAGGCTGGTGAGTATCTACCCTCAGTTGATTCATGGTTTCATGTTAGCTTTTTCTTTGTTTCAGATGATTTTTCTATACTTTTCCAATTCAATAATAAAGTGAGCTAAGACATCTGTGGTCTTACTGTACCCATACATATCTGATGACAGAGCAAGCCAGGTGTGGTCCAGTAAATTTGCCAACTGTACTTTGTACACTGTGCTACGTTTTAGCCGTAATGGCAGTGGAACCATCGGATTCAATTTGAGTCCAGTAAGAATATAAGAATACTGGAATGTGTTAAGTCGAATAAGAATCGTGGAACGTTATCGCAGGTCAGCAGGGAACATGCGCAGACCTGTGGGTCGGTCTATATTGACCTGAGGGAACATGTTCCAGACACCCTGTTTTCCCGGTTCATGCCTGCAAGGAGATACGAAGAGGGCTCTAAGGCTATGTGCCTTATAAAGTCTGCATAATTAGGCATGACATTGGCAACATGGGTGATACATTTCTACATTCATCAGTTCAGCTCTCTACACACTGTTTCACATTGTCAGCAACACCTACAATGCCCACAGCTGCTGAACGTTAGCATTTGCATTGAGTGTAATGCTTGAAGTACATTTTATTCTCGTTCATCACATAGTTAAATTGTTAGGAAAAAGAAAGGAAATCACATTCAGCATTTCCAGTAAAGTATCAAAGTTGTCAAGGCCCCTTTTGAACTTAAACATAGATTAATTTCAGTCAGTTTTGCTTCCAGTTAGCAGTGCATCAGTCTGGTAAAACTTAACATTGCATCTATCAGAAAGGTAGTATGTGCGGTTTCGTCGACAGAATGAAAACGTTTAAGTCCAACTAACGTAACGAATGGCATGCAGTGATGAAATTCTACTTAACCATGTAAGAATTTAGAAAACGTGAAACAAATGCTTATTTCAAGTCATCAGGGCCAAAGTCAACTAAATTCAATCATTACGTTTTTGCCACTGCATGGAAAAAAAGTGTTTCCCTGTTTCACTTGATGGACTGACCATGGTCCAAAAACAAAAACAAACAAAAAAAAACATTGGTTAAGAGACTATTTTGTACTTATTACATGTACTATGTTTCAGGTTAAAAAACTGTTTTAAATTTAGAATGAATTGCGTCAATCTAGGTAGGTTTAATGGTATGCTAAAAACCTACTAAACACAACACTAGAATGTCTAATTTCCAGTGTTGCTTCGACTTCTGTAAATAAGCAGTTATTCCATGGCCAGTTTACAAACCACTGTGACCCTTGACTTGTTCCTACCATGTAGTTTTCTATACCTACTACAGATTTGTTGAGTTTTATAGGAAATCTCTGTTTACTGTAACTTGAAACACAAAAACTTTTTACCCAAGAGTTCTGCTAAATTGCTGCATTGTTTTTCCAAAATAAAGAATTCTTAACAGTATTTAGTGGAAGTATTCTCAAAGAATAATTCCATAAACCATTAAAAATGCCGGTCCTTAAGTGCTTTTAACTGCTTTGGAAAAAGTCTAACTGCAGCCACATTCAAAAATCGTCCTGCAGGAACTACAGCTTTGAAACTGTGTCAAAGTAGTCCCAACATTTCACATAATCTGTTAATAGCAGCCTTGATAAAAGTCAAACTAGCCCTTAATTCCAACAATACCATGTTGAAAGAAAAGATATAGGCAATAAAGTCTCAGAAGAAAATAAAAACTATGAAATTAAGATGGTATTTTTAAGACTTAGAAATGGAAGAACGAACCCATGAGACCTTCCTTAGAATGGACTACAAAGCCCAGCTGTGGTTTTAGAATCACAATAACAACAACAACAACAACAACAACAACTATAAAGATCTCTTAAGCTTTTTCTCTTTTATGAATGCCCTGTATTTGCAATGCTATTTGGACACAGTTGGTTAGTTAACTACACATGGCTATGTCAAATTCTCAATATCCTTATATGTATCTGAATCAATTTTCTTTCAATCCTAGAAGCCAGATCCAATAGCTACATTATCATAAAAACTCAAATCTGCAATCAGAACATGGATCAGCAAGAGGGGGAAATCAAAAACGAATTAAGCATGGAACACTAAAGCTGTAGCCGCCTTGGACCACATGACCATCTCCTAAGAAAATACAGGTGTGGTAGAAAAATGCGAGTAAAAAGTGCTCATCACAAAGCCAATCACCAATGTACAGAGCAGTTTTCATACATGTGTGTTTTTTAGTCTTAATTATTACACAAAAATATATACCTCCACAAAAAAAAGGAAAACAACAAACAAACAAAAAAATATAAATGGGTGCCTCAGTCATCATCAAGCTGTTTTGTGGTTGGCTCTTCCTCTGGCTGCAATCCCAGCCTCTCCGTTTCAGGAACCAAACATTCCATCTCTCCTTCTACCTCTCCATCCATCCCCCCATTTGGGGACTGACTGAAGGTCTCCACTGGCTGGGGGTCAGGAGGCCCCGTCCCCTCTTCTTCAGGATTCTTTGCCGGACCCTGAAGGGCTCCTAATTTCTGATTGAGGTCGTTGCGCTCCCTCTGCAAGGCTCTGCACAGTTTCTCCAGACGCTCCAGTTTACCTTGAAGGGCTTTGTAATTTTTGTCCCGCACAGTTTTCTACAAAAGATGGTGTTAAGAAAAGAAAAAAAAATAATAAAACCAAAGTTACATAGTAATAAATACTTCATTTACTAAGACCTCTGTACCAAAAAACATTTTTTCCCCATTTTTGCTCATTTTTTCCACAATAATAGCCATTTCCTATTCCTATTTGCTATCCAGGTTTCCTCTAGAAAGGAATGAAGCCATTATTCCTGACCAGATTCAAGTTACTCCTTCAATGTTTGCTCCACATGGAAGCCCAGAAGCTAAATGAGCTTCATTATTCAGTCTACCTGGAGCTCCTGTTGGTTTGAGATTTCCAGACGTGTAGTGGCTTAAATTTTGTTACTCATTATTGAACTCACCTCCTCAGCCATCTGCAGTAAGGTCTGGTTGTTGGTCTCCCACTTGGTCCTCCAAAGAGTCGTCTCCTTCTCCAACTTCTTGATTTTCTTGGTCATCTGTGTGTAACAGAGCAGTCACAAAAGAACGATAAAGTCCTTTCACTAAAGCTGAGGAACACCCTGCAGTTTCTGAAGATTTAGAAGAATACTTTTCTTTTTCTCACTAACAGAAGATCCAGGAGCTACTAACCTTCTCCATTTCTTGTCTGAAAGAGGTGAACACTTCATTGCTCTTGGCAAGGGTTGTCTGGAACTCTTCAAATTTGTCCATATAAAGAGTAAGCTGCTGTTTCAGCTGAAGCTCCTGCTCCTTCATCAGCTCACATTTATGTCTTGATTCTGTCGCATCTTTCAGAAGCTGAACAACGAAGGGAGATCAAGTGATTATTGACTTACAAGGCTCTGGCACAACCTAAAAAATGACGGGTCAATAATTATCAAGGGATTAAGTTGAGATATTACGCAGCATACATCAAATGCTGCCTCAGTTTAATTGTGGTCAAACATTACCACTGATGTCATCTTACTTGCACAATGTGCCCAACATCTCTATTTCATTGAGATTATGTGTAATCTATTGGTAAAACTGCTGTTAGCATGAATAACACTAAAATGCTTTCTCCAATTCTAAATAAAGTCAGGACTATAAAAAAAATAAATTATTAAAAATAATGCTGGCTCTAAATCAGTGTTACTTACAAATTCTCTCTCTCGCTGCTGCTTCTCCTCGACTTCTCTCATCAACTCAGCTGTCCTCTGGAGTTTTGCATCAACCAGCTGTTGCTGAAGCTCCTTGTGCTTGAACACCTTGTCAATGTGCTGAAGAGAAATATGCCATATATTCATACCTATCTCATCACAAAACAATTAAAAGTCTCCTGTTTATTTTTCTGGTTTTGATGGACCTTGATATGTTTTCATCATACAAAACCCTATTTGAATTTGTAGGTTTGATCAATATGTAGAGAGACCCATCACTACTTAAACAAGTGAAAGACTCTTAAAATATTCTTCCAAGCTCACAAGACTCTCAGCACATCACCTTCCAATTAGAATGGAATACAATGCAATGGAATGTTTCCTTGCCCTTGTGCTTTCACCACTAAGCCAGATAAAGCAAGTAGCCAGTATAAGGATCCTGTGAGCAGAATGAGTGGTAATAAGATTAATATGTGCCAGCTAGACATGTGCCGATATAATTAAAAAAAAAAAAACACAATAATTACCTTTTATCTCACTTTAGGACAGAGCACTGGTCTCAAAAAAATCTGTTAATACTGCAACTTGTTTGACATTACCATGCGTGATTACCAAATATCGGCAAAGGTCTAGTGCTAACACAATTTAAATGGCTTCAACCATAGTTCTGAGGTTTTAAATAGTGCTCACACTCCTAAATATGTACAGCATAAATATGACCACTATATTTTTATTTCCACTTGGTAGGGGCACAGTGACTCAGCAAATCTGGCACATGCAAATCTGTCAAGCATGTCTCAAAATTTTAGTTCTCCAATTTCTAATCTTGTGCTTCATAAAAATGATCAACACTTTGACCAGAAGGAAGAGTTTATGAGGCATTTGTTGGCTGGACTGCTAACAGTTTTGCTTTCTTACCTCCTCCCTCAGTTCATACTGCTCAATAAGTTTCTTGAGTTTCTCTGCCAGCTCCATATTTTCCTGCCTCAACTTGGTGTTGTGAGTGTTGTGCCGCTCCATCTGCGCTTCAATCTCATTCAGCGTCATCTGAAAGTGAAGCGTAGCCTCTTTGCGCCTCTCCTCATATTCTCTGAATCTCTGGGCGTTTTCCTCCTGCCAAAAAAGGGATATTTCACACCAATACTTTGTCTAATACCTACATTTCAGACAGCACTTTTGTTAGCCATGATAGGGCCTTATGGTAACATCTGCTTTTTAACTTGTGAAAGCTGGTCTTCGCTACTCATTACAGTTACTCAATTTAAGCTGAACAGGACTAAGGAACAGAGCTGATCCATATCCAGTACAGGAAAGGCATGGCACTGTACCTTCAGGGTCTTGTTGTGCCGTTGTAGCTCCCTGCAAAGGCTTTCTAGCTTGCTGCGAGCAAGAATGGCTTTGCTGTGTTCACTTTGCAAATGAATCTTCTCTTTGAGGACCTGCGTCTGCTTCTTCTGCAGCACCTTCACTTGCTTCTGCATATTGCGACTCTCTTCCAGCTATCAAACAATGAGATCCCATTATGTTTCTAATGAAGTAAGTAGACTCATGACCACTGCTATTGCAGTAATTTGTTGCAAACACATTCAGGTCTGCAACCAAAGAACATTTCTACATCCACACCCTTACCTTATCCACAGTGACTGTGTATGTATGCCATAGTCTCCAGAATAGCTTAATCTGATATTTATACATACAACTACAACATACAGTAACAGTGCGGGAATATTGCACAAGCCATGGTTTCTTACCAGGTCAGCATACTTCTTGCAAAGAGCAGCAAGTTTCTCCTCAGGAGTGGCTAAGGTGTGAAGGGCTTGCATCAGTAGCAAGACTTCTTTCCCTATGGAGCAGAAGAGTAGTATTACATGATGCATAAGTGGAAAAAGATCTTCTATGCAGAAATAAGAACATGTATTTAACAGTCATCAACGAATTACAAAGAAAAGACTCAAAACGAATAATTTATGCTTAAATCAATCACAGCTATGCATATCTTTTTTAGATCCACTTTGGTCTGACTATTTTACAGTTTGTCTATTACCTCCTCAAAGCTCAACAACAAATTTAGACTGCAGCCTGAACATTCAAATGGTTACATACGCAGCACCCACCAAACATGTTTTGCTCCTTGTTCTGTTCACCGCTTGGGTCCAGTTCTCCTTCAAGGGGGTCAATTTGACAATCTTCTCTCCCAGGTGTCTCCCCTCGCACCTCTTCACTGCAGCAGGTGTTTACCAGACCCTCAAACTCCTCAAGGTGATCCTGGGAGGAAGGGGAACTGCTGCCCTCTACAAGTCCACGTGTGCCTGCCTCTATTCTACACACACCAGTGGTCTCCATCGTATTCACCCCGTACTGGTGGAAAAAGAGCTTGAGGTTAAATAGACTGTGATATTGCCACAGATATTTTAGCCTTACCCATCCTACGCTTTGTAACCTAATGGTCAAAGTTAGCCAGGTAATAAAAAAAATGAATATGTATCTGGAGTAACTAAAGCATTTTTCCCTTTAAAATCATATTTACCTTGTGCCTAAATGAAAAGGTCTGGTTAAAAGAGGACCAGACTGTGCTACAGCCTCATCTATTTAAGCCATACCTAACCCATGCTGTGTAGTACTGGGCCAGGTTAACCAGGTTGAACCTGTATCTGGCCTAACTAGGCTTACTGAACACTAATCTGTGACCAAAAAGAACCTGACTAATAATGTGATTAATATACACTCTTTAAAAAAGATGGTTCTTCAAGGGTTCTTTAGTATTGGGAATGGTTCTATTTAGAACCATGTGTTCTATATAGAGCCACTGGATGCTTAAATGGTTCAATGCATGGTGAAATGGATTCTTCGGATTGATGGAGAATGTGTTGTACATGGTTCTATATAGAACCTTTTTTTAAAATGGAGCTATATAGGACAAAAGGAGTTCCTCTATTACAAGCTACAACAGAAGAACTCTTCTTTAAGTGCTATAATAGAACCGTTTTCAAAAAGATTCTATACAGAACCATATACAACGATTCCACATCAATCTATTCCCTGACAGAAAACAGAAAAAACACAATAATGCATTAGCGCTGACCTGCTTCCCATCCATCGAATAGGTAGCTACAAAACCGCTGGGAAAGGAGTCTAATCTTCACATGTCCCAAATTTCTTTGCTGACAGAGATTCACCCCTGAACATTACTGTACTGCCGGACTGCCAAAGTTAAAAATTTCCGTCTGGAAAGCGGCCTTTGAACAATGATCAGAGTGGGTTACAAGCAGACGAGAGGATTAGATTAGTCCACCACGTGCTGCACGGCAACAGCAGCAGAGCCGCCACATGGGACGAGTGACAACAGACTAAAAACTCAAAAAAGCATAGAAAAAGAATAATTTCATGGGAACATATGTAAAACAGTATTTAATCAAGGCAAATGAAGTCGACTGACTACTTTGAATGTGCCGGTGAGCACTACTGTCAGGTTAAAACCTACCTGGAACAAAAAGAGAAACCTGTTTTTTAAATCGCTAAATAGCTCCTTTTTTTAGTGAAATATAGAGGATAAACTTAACCGTTTTACTGGCCGGCTGCTTTAGCTTAATTTAATCGACCACCTAAGTTACACGACTGGCCGACAAACTTTGACTCCTGATAAAGCTCACTATACAAGCAGTTCGCGTAAAATATTATAAATGTATCAAACTAAGTCAGTCTCATATTTCATAAATCATATTTGAAAGCTTAAATTATCACAACATCCTGACATTTCAGAATCATCGAGCTAACTCAGCTTTTTTTTTTACCTTTTGAGCTAAGTTACCTCAAACCCTTCCCAGGCCAGAGTGCAAGTGAAAGCAGGTTAGCAGCGAGCTTAGCTAGCAAAGTTTGCGGGAAACAAATCTGAGTCCCTAGGCTTGTTAGCTAGCGTAGTTAGCTTAGCTTAGCTAGCTAGCTAGGTAACTAATGTTACACAGATGCGTAGCTACCTGGTTAATGAAGTATTCGTAGTTGACTCTAAAAACTGTCCACAAGTCGCCATCACCAAACACAAAATTAACCATTTTATACATTAAGTATAACTCTAATGAATATTTATTTGAATCTAGCTCTAGCTGCCTTGTATGATTCGCTAGCGAGCTAGCTGGCGTTTAGCGTTAGCCACTTCCTTCGTAAATAATGCCCGTGCTGTGGGGAACCGCTGCTACTTTCGTTATTTATATAGCGATTATAGCTTAGCCATTCTTTATTTCGTTTAGATAAATGCTACGTGCATAGAAAACAAACCATTAAAACCAAAAGTACACTTAGCAATCACAACGTTATTGTATCCCGCGGCTACATACCTGAATGTTTTCGGCGTTTAAATCGACCCTGGCGCCTGAGTAAGTCGCCATGTTGTGACGAAACGCTGAGCAGGAAAAATAAAGGCAGCGAACAGATGAGCTAGAACAGGACCAACTTTTACGATTTGTGTCTTCAGACCTAAAACAGTAAATACCTTTTGTCTTATACCCTTTTCGTAGTCTGATCCGTTTTACATTTTTTACACTGAACAAGTAAAGACTACAAAATGTACATGTAAATGTTCATCCACAGGTGTCAGCCAGTAAGTTACATTAAACCTGTGTAGGCTACTGACGGAAATTGAATGCCTCCTATTGACTGTTTCCAGAGGTAAGTAGAGTAGCCTAAACCCACACTCAGGTAATGTTACTTTAGTGACTCTAAAGAACGTAAAAGTTTATTTCTAAAAAAAACAACTCCAGAAAAAGTACAAAAATAGCAGGTTGGAAAGCTACTTAAAGGGGAATTCCACTAGTTTTTAAAAAAATCTGCATAATTCAGTCATTGAATTATAAACAGTCATTCAGAGTGGTTTGATATTTGATGATTCATTGCAGAGAAACTTACCAACTTATTTTTACTGTGGTGGTGATAGGAACTAGGGGTTGCAATGACTGTGTGGCAAATATAGCCAATTTATTTACCATCCAAAATGATCAATGAACTATATGTGACTTCTGAGTTTTTATATACAACCCCATTGCCAAAAAAAGTTGGGACGCTATGCAAAATGTACATAAAAACAAAATGCAATGATTTGCAAATCATGTGACCCCTATATTTAACTGAAAATAGTACAAAGACAACATATCAAATGTTGAAACTGAGAAATTTTATTGTTTATTGAAAAATATTTGCCCATTTTGAATTTGATGCCAACAACACGTTCCAAAAAGTTGGGACAGGGGCGACAAAAGGCTGGTAAAGTTGTGTAATGCTAAAAAAACACTAGCTGGTTGATTGGCAACAGGTCAGTAACATGATTGTGTATAAAAAGAGCATCCCAGAGAGGCTGAGTCTTTCAGCAGTAAAGATGAGGAGGAGTTCACCACTCTGTGAAAGACTGTATGAACAAATAGTGCAACAATTCAAGAATAATGTTTCTCAACAGAAAAAGAGTAAAGACCTCTTGCTTTTCGTCATCTACGGTACATAATAACATTAAAAGGTTCAGAGAATCTGGAAAAATCTCGGTATGCAAGGGACAAGGCCAAAAACCAGTATTTGCTGACCATGATCTTTGGGCCCTCAGGTGGCACTGCATTAAAAACAGACATGATTCTTTAGTGGAAATCACTGCATGGGCTCAGGAACACCTCTGAAAGCCACGGTCTGTGAAAACAGTTCGTCACTGCATCCACAAATGCAAGTTAAATCTCTGAAATGCAAAGAAGAAACCATATATAAACAGGATCCAGAAATGCTGCCACGTTCTCTGGGCCCGAGCTCATTTAAATGGACTGAGGGGAATTGGAAAAGTGTCCTGTGGTCTGACAAATCAAAATTTATAATAATGCAAAAACATTTCACTTTCAAAACTACAGCAATCGGTCTCCTCAGTTCCTGAATGCTTACAGAGTGTTGTTAAAGGAAGAGGTGATGACACACAGTGGTAAACATGCCCCTGTCCCAACTTTTTTGGAACGTGTTGTTGGCATCAAATTCAAAATGGGCATATATTGTTCAAAAAACATTCAAATTTCTCAGTTTCAACATTTGATATGTTGTCTTTGGACTATTTTCCTTTAAAAATATGGTTTACATGATTTGCATATCATTGCATTCTATTTTTATTTACATTCTGCACAGCTTCCTAACTTTTTTGGAAATGGGATTGTATAATATTGGTAAAATTGTAAAACATATGGAAAAAATAAGTATCCTTTGGGGAGTATTTTGCCTTACAACACCCTGCATGTACACAACATGAATGAATTTAAAAAATGTACATTTTAGGCCAAAATATTTTCTCAAAACTGTTGTAAAACAATATACCAGGCGTCAGACAGCCTATGTGTGACCACTTCATGTAATAACTTTGTGTGAGGGAGCTTTTAGAGGCACTAAACACATCTGACGTCTATTCTTCAAAAGATCCTGTCTTCTGTTTAGGTCTTCAGGCTTATTAATGGCTGGTTCATGATTCCTCTTATTGTATCATCCATCTTGTTGCTGGTCATCCTCTTCCTCTTTTACCTTCAACTCTTCCAAGCATAATGGTCTTTTCAAATTAATCGGTTCTCAGAATATGTCTAAAGTAAGATCGCTTCAGTTTGGTTATCTGGGCTTCGAGTGAGAGGCGAGGCTTAATTTGTTTGAGGAGCCATTTGTTTGTTTTCTTTGCCATCCAAACTACTCTTAAAAGTCTTTGCCAGCACCAGAGTTTAAATGTGTCTGTATTTTTCCTGTCTTGCTTGTTTATTATCCAGCTTTTACACTCAAGAACCTCAGAGATGACCACAGCCTGGGCAACTCTGAGACAAATTGTTGCATTTGAAGATCTTCTCAAGCTCCTTCATCCTTGTTCTCCAGAGTGCCAATCTGTGCTGTGTTTCTTGAGTCCTGGATCTTTGGTTGGTAATAACTGATCTGAGTAGGCAAAAGCTGTTCAGTGCCGTTTCACATAACCGCAACAACTCTGCAGCATCTCCTCAACCACAGTTCTAAACGACTGAAAAAAAAGAGAGAGATAATCCAGGTTTCAACCAATGATTTATTTAATGTAGTCACTCATTTAGGTAAAAGAATATGTAGTTTGAAAAAGAGTTTGCAAGCAGTGTTGTTTTATTATTAGTTTATTACATTATCACAGATATGCTATTATCAAACCTTGTCATGAGGTAACAAGGTTTATTAGGCACAGAGTAGGTTGGAGAATGGTCATCACTGGAATTCTAAACATGACTTAGCTCAAACTCTGGTGGTCTTGTTCGTGTGAACAATACCAAAAACACCGTCAGTCGAGGAAATGTGACCATGCAAGGATCTGCACGCTGTGCGGTTGAGCAGCACAGCCTTAAGGGGGCAGCAGAGAGTTACATGCACTTCGGCAGCACGTAAAAAAAGACGACGAAGAAATATGGCGCGATAGGAGCATGTAGAGTTGTTATGAAAGCTTGTAGATAGAAAAAGTGGTTAAAGTGACGAGAAGCTTTAACTAATAACAATTTGACCTCAGGCACTTGTATATTAGGTGTGTAGTTTTGTTTGCGCGGACACTGCACGATGCCTCCCCTCACTTTAAGAGGAATTACTGTGGATTTCCCTTTTACACCGTATCCATGTCAGAAGGATTACATGAGCAAAGTGATTGAATGCCTGCAAAACGTGAGTGTCATTTACGTTTTGTTACTTTGGCTGATTTGGCATTAGATTTTTGACTTGCCATTTCCATGAGTAGCTGAATACAAGAACATAGCCACATAGCCACATCACTGGTGGGCATACCCTAATGCACATACGCTATATGTCCAAAAGTTTGTAGACACCTGCTCCTCCGGCGTTTTTTTCTGAAATATAGGTATTAATAGGAAATTTGTCCCACTATTGTCTCCAGTAACAAATTCTGCTGCTCTGGAAAGGCTTTATACTGCATCTTGTAACATTGTACTAAATGCTGGAGCAGGTCCACTGCTCCACAGCTTAGTGCTGGGGGACTTTATGCCTCTCTAGCTGACGCTTTGCACTGGGCATGGTGACCCTATGCTCTTCTGCACAATCACGTTCTATTGCTTTTGTTTTTCTATGGAGATTTTACAAGCTGTGAGTGTGCGACTGAACACCTGTGTCAGCAGTGGGTGCACCTTAAAGTAGCAGAATTCACTAATCAGACTAATCAGAAGGAGAGTCTGGATACCTTTCGACATGCATTGTATTTATATGGACAGCGGAGAGCTGACCCTGCATGCTGACGCTGAACTTTCACGGTTGAATACTTTATACGCACTGCCTTTGTAGTAATGGACTACTATTTTACCTGTTACAGAAAGTAAATGGAGTTCTTGAAAGTCCAACAGGCACAGGCAAAACCTTGTGTCTGCTTTGTTCAACGCTTGGCTGGAGGGAATACTTCAAGGACTCCATATCTGCCCGCAAGATTGCAGAGAAAATGGGAGGTGCCGAACTTTTTCCTGATAGGCCTCTGTCATCGTGGGGAACAACAGCAACTGATGGAGATGTACCAGGTACGAAGAGGAAAGAGGGCATTTTTGTATCCAAGTTTGCAAATCTTACCATCTTACATGCAGTTTTATATTAGGTTGCATAAATAAACCTTCTCACTGCTGCATGTAATTTAGCTGATAGGATTGTCCAAGCTTTGGGGAACAGTGCATGAGAAGGAAAAGGCTTTTATGGATTGGTTAATAATATAATGTTCCCTGTGTCTTCTGAGCAGCGTATTACACAGATATTCCTAAAATCATCT